TTTGACTCAGTGGATAGAGTGTCAGCCTGCTGACTGATAGGTCCCAGGTTCGATTCCTGTCAAGGGCAGGTAGCTTCGTTGCGGGCACATGCCCAGTAGGGGGTGTGCAAGAGGCAGCTGATAGATGATTCTTTCTCATCGATGTTTCTAACTCTCTATCCCTCTCTCTTCCTCTCTGTAAAAGGTCAATAAAATATATTTTAAAAAATAATAATAAATAAAAAATAATATAATGGGGATAAAAATAGAATTTGTCTCACAGAGTGGTTCTGAGCATCAAGGTGGTGCTGTACCTTCAGGCCTGTACATGATGCCTAACTCAAGGAGGGATGGCTTCCCCTATGATGGTTTTAATTTCAAAAAGATTTGGGAAATAAAGGCACCAAGGGAGAAATGAAGTCACTTATTACCTCATCCCCTAGTTTTTTTGTTTTTTTTTTATATAAATCTCATGCATTTCAAAGCAACATATATGCTTTGTTCACTTAGCATCCTGGGCGATCATTTCTCCACACCCTTAAATAATTTATCGGAAAAATTATATATATATATATATATGCCTAAGTGACCATTACTACCTATCAACTGAATGACCGGTCACTATGACATGCACTGACCACCAGAGGGCAGACACGCAAAGCAGGAGCTGCCCCCTGGTGGTCAGTGCCTTCCCACAGCCAACCTTCCACAGGGGTCCAACCTCTTGCAGTCCCTCCCCCCTGGCTGGCCAGCCCTGATTGGCCCCAATTGCTGGCGAGGCCGAGGGCATGAATCCGTGCACCAGGCCTCTAGTATTTACAACATCCTATGGAGCTCTCGGCACTGTCATTTAGCGCGTCCCTCATTTCACCAGATTTCTTTTATCCTCTCTCTCTCTGGTGTCTTGGTTGTCTCCTGGAGCGGGGAATTGCTGAGTCAGAGGGCATGTGCGTTCTTGAGACCTTTGGTACCTCCTGCGAAGTCGCCTCCAGGAAGCCAGCCAGCGGCGGCCGCCCCAGCTGGGCTCCGGGGAAGCCGCATCCCTGCCGGGCGGCGGCGTCCTTCTCCTGGCGAAGCCGCCCGGGCCGCTCACCGAGGCAACAGTTTCTCGCTCTCTCCCTTCTCTCTTCCTTTCCCTCTTCGCCCCCTTTGTTTCCTTTCTTGGTTTCCTGCCAAACACCCTCTTGTGAAAGGACCGCCTAATTAACCCTGCGCTAATTAACAATTTAAAATTGCACAGCGAGGCGTTCATGTTTAATTCTCTGAGAGCAACAGCGGGAGCCCCCTCCCCCCCCCCCCCCCCAGCCTCCCTGGAACTGTTGCATCGGCCTCCGCCGCCTTAGAGGAATGTGATAGAGCTGTCAGGCCACATCTCCTCCGCTGAAAGGGGCAGATGGATGACTTTGTGAATGGGGGGCCTCGGGGTGACCTGGTGGCGTGTTTTTTTTTTTTTTTTTTTTTTTTTTTTAACATTTTAAACTGTGTCTCCCGAACAAGACTTGCTGTTTGGGAGAGATGCGGGGAGCTTGACAGGCAGGTCCCAAGGGAACGAAGTTTCTCTGGAAGAGGCGCAGGTGTCCGGGGCTCTTGATAACGGAGTCGAAGCTTCCGGTTCAGGGCAGGATGGCTTCTCCAATGGCAGGCTTAGCTCAGCAGGGCGAGGCCAGCACCCTGGACCGCACCTCCCATTCCCCTGAACCCCTGTTGGAGAGAGGTGCTCCCCTGAAGAGCAACTGAGTTCTTATTTATTTATTTTTTTAAATTTATTGATTTTTTTTTTTTACAGAGAGGAAGAGAGAGGGATAGAGAGGTAGAAACATCAATGAGAGAGAATCATCGATCAGCTGCCTCTTGCACCCACCCCTACTGAGGATGTGCCCTGGACCGGAATGGAACCCGGGACCCTTCAGTCCGCAGGCCGACGCTCTATCCACTGAGCCAAACCGGTCTCGGCAGAGTAACTGAGTTCTTAAAACCGCCCACACACAGCCCACGGGGAGCACGCTAGGCGGGCGTGCGCAGAACACGTCTGTATTTGGGGGGGATTTGGGGGGTGCAGGTGGCTGAAGAGGGTCCGTGATGCGTGAGCTGGCCCCGGCGAGGGAAGGATGGGGAAGGGGGTGCAGGCCCAGAGGCTGCGGCCCGGCTGCCTGTGAGCGCGGGGACCCGCCGGGCTCGCAGGCCGCCCTCTGTAACTGAAGATCATTGATTTTACGGGAAAGCGTGTTTACAGAGTGCTGATCGACCTGCCGAGTTGACTTCTGCCTCCTTAAGTAAGAACTACCTTTTTCCTATTGACTGGCTGATAAACAGAAAGAGAGAGGGACGGGCGGGAGAGTGGTGGGCGGCCGGAGGCCCTGGAGCTGAAGACCTGGGAAGCGAAAGAGGCTTCTTCATCTCCGCGTTCTGGTCCCCTCTCGTCCACCCTATCCCCTCGCTCCCAGGGACCGGTGCGGGAGTCCGAGCCCGACCCTGCCTTGGCCCCGAGCAGTGCAGGGACGGAGCCGGGGGGAGATGTTGTGTAGCAAAGGGGGTCTCCGACTTGAATGATGCGCGCCCTCCAGCGAGCGGCCTCTGGCCTGGGGTGGGGCTGAGAGCGTGCTCCTCCCCGCGCGCTGGCGAAGGCGATTCCCTGGCTCCAGGATCCATCCTTGGCTCAGCGAGGCTGTGCGAGGCCCTGCCTGTCACGGCTGGCGTGCAGGCAGCTTCGATCTCAGAGTGGGATCCTTCTCTCCCACGGATGCCTGCCTTGGCGGGCGGTCCCTGCGCATAAGTGGTCTCCCACGGGCCCCTCCATGGGCCAGTGTCACCACCCCGGGGGTCTGTCTGTCTGTCTGTCAGGTGGCCACAGTGTCATTCTTGACATTTGCTTGGAAATAGAAAACAAAGTTAGGTGAGTTTTCCAAAGTCCCAACCCCTTACGTGGGTGAGTAGTGGAGGAGGATGAGGATAAGGAGGAGGAGGAGGAGGAGGAGGAGGAGGAGGAGGAGGAGGAGGAGGAGGAGGAGGAAGAGAACAGCCAGAAAAGCCCACCAATTAATTGGTAAACGCTTGCCGGTTCCTCTGGCCCAGCCCCGGCTGGAGAGGAGATTGGCTTCGCTGTCGATACACAAGTCCCTGGTGAAGCATCAAAGCTGTTCTCCTTTATCAATCGTGGCCTCCCCTTCCCGCACGTTCCTGTAACTTACCAAGCATTTATGACATCGATTTTACAATCGGGCTGTTAACCCTCCCGCCCCTCCAGGCCTGCCAGCCTTTCTGGCCCGAGCTGTCAATCAGGCGCATGCTCACCTGTGCGCCGGCCGGCCGAGCCTGGCGGGGAAGTCCCGTCCGCTCGCTGTCCGGCCTGCTCTCCTGCAGTCATCCTGGTTTAACATCAATGTGCTTGTTCCCAGGCGCACGGAACATTGTCATCGTGGAGTTGGAGGTTATAAACGGGGAGGTGGAGAGTGTCCTGTGTGTGTGTGTATGTGTGTGTGTGTGTGTATATGTGTGCGTGCGCGCGCACACTTTAAACAAAACATGACACGTTCTTCCAAAAAGTTATTCCTCCTAAGGCTTCTGGGAAACCTGCCTTCCCCGTCTTTTCCCGAGGGGGAGCTGTTGGCTCACGGTGCAGTCAAGAATCAAGAAATGAAAGGAGAATAGGAAGATGGGGTTTTGGGAGGGCTAGGGGTGGGGTGGAGTGGGACCAGACACAGCCTAAAACCCTATCTGCCGTGTCTGAATGAGATGGCGGGTGGGGAAACAGCCGAGTGTTCCCCAGGAAGGAGGCTCAGGGTGTGGGCTGGGAGTGTTGCCTGGGATTTTAGGACCGGGATTGGGTCCGGGTGAGGCATCTGAGGCTCTGAGCTGCTGTAGGAGCAGCGCTGGGTGGGAGAAACGCTCCGTGAGGCCCGAGCCTCCCTCTCCGGGGACGCGAGGTCTCGGGCGGGCGGAGGGCACGCTCAGCTCAGTGGCACTTTGGAGTCGGAAGCGGAAAAGCCCCAGGGCTGAGGGACAGCTGCCTGGGTAGCAGCTAATAGCCGAGAGGCAGGTGGGAACGGGGGCTGGGCCGAGCCCAGCTGCTGCCTCGCTTTGCCGCCGAGATCCCTGACAGCAGACGGCACCCAGCGCGTGGTGACGGGGCTCCCCCCAGACGGGGCGACATCCATGCTGCCTGCGGGGGGGAGGTTCTCCCTAGAAACATGGCGCTAATGTTTGCACCCGCACGTCTTCCGAAGGGAGCCAGCTGAGTCACCAGCGAGGCTGTGGGAGGGGCGGGGGCGGGGAAGGGGGATCTGCCTCTGTTTCGCAGCGTCCGGTGGCAGGGGCACGTGTTAAGGATCTGCCCCCTCAGTTTTCCTGCTGGTGACATGGGACCTTACTCCCCCTCCCCCCCCCACAGACCCCAAGGGCTTTTCTCGGAACTGTTCAAACTATAATAGAACCCTGGTCAGTAAAAGCAACAGCGGCAACGTCTACTCCAAGTCCATGAGCGCGTCTTGCCCGTTCTGGGGGTGCCACACCTCCCTCCTCGCGCCTGTCCCTGCCCTGCTCCCCGGCCCACAGGCAGCTGGCACAGCCGAGGGCGGGGAGTGGCGCCCAGTCCTGGTGCTGACGATGTGCTTGCCAAGAGCGAACGGAAATCCAGACTGGTCTCCAGGGTAGAGCAGCCGACACGCTGAAGACTTAAGAGGGACCCTCCTGATGCCCCTGCCTGTGCTCCTGCTCCTGCCACATCCCCCAGCCGTGACCCCAGCCCTGACCCCTCGGGGCCACTTGCCCACCCCCCCCACCCCACCCCCACTCCCGTGCCACGGACAGCATGGGGTCCCTGCTGCCCCCCCGCGGTCTCTGTTGTGGGTGTGGACAGAAGCTGTTAGACTGCTCTTAGCCTCGGCCCTCCTAACCTCTTTCCTTTCTCTCTCTCTCTCTCTCTCTTCCCCCTCTCCCTCTCCCTCTCCCTCTCCCCCCCCCTCGCCTCCGCCCTCAGGTCCGACCCGTACTGGGTGCAATGAGAGCTCCACGCAGGCCTTGCCATGGAAGGCTGTGACTCGCCCGTCGTCTCGGGGAAGGACAATGGGTGCGGGATCCCTCAGCACCAGCAATGGACTGAACTCGGCAGCGCCCACCTCCCCGACACGCCCAGCGGCATGGAGCCGTCCACAAGCGAGAGCCACGGGCCCCTGGACAGCCTGAGGGCGCCCTTCAATGAGCGCCTGGCGGAGGGCACCCCCTCGGCCGGGCCCCCCGCCGCGGCTGCCGCCGCCGCCGAGCCCTCGGGCAAGGAGGTCAGCTGCAACGAGTGCGCGGCCTCCTTCGCCAGCCTGCAGACCTACATGGAGCACCACTGCCCCAGCGCGCGGCCCCCGCGCCCCCCGCGGGAGGACAGCGGGAGCGACAGCAGCGAGGAGGGGGACGAGGAGAGCGACGTGGAGAACCTGGCCGGGGAGATCGTCTACCAGCCCGACGGCTCGGCGTACATCGTCGAGAGCCTGAGCCAGCTGGCCCCGAGCGGGGGCGGCAGCGCCTGTGCGGGCAGCGGCAGCGGCAGCGGCAGCGGCGGGCCCCTCCCCTCGCTCTTTCTGAACTCCCTCCCCGGGGCGGGGGGCAAGCCGGGGGACCCTTCCTGCGCGGCACCCGTGTACCCGCAGATCATCAACACGTTCCACATAGCCTCATCCTTCGGGAAGTGGTTCGAGGGCCCGGACCCGGCCTTCCCGAATACCTCAGCCCTGGCGGGGCTCAGCCCCGTCCTGCACAGCTTCCGCGTGTTCGACGTGCGGCACCAGAGCAGCAAGGATTACCTGAACAGCGACGGCTCCGCCAGGAGCTCCTGCGTATCCAAAGATGTTCCCAACAACGTGGACCTGTCCAAGTTCGACGGCTTCGTGCTCTACGGCAAGCGCAAGCCCATCCTGATGTGTTTCCTGTGCAAGCTCTCCTTCGGCTACGTCCGCTCCTTCGTGACCCACGCGGTGCACGACCACCGCATGACCCTGAGCGAGGACGAGCGGAAGATCCTCAGCCACAAGAGCATCTCCGCCATCATCCAAGGGATCGGCAAGGACAAGGAGCCCCTCGTAAGCTTCCTGGAACCAAAAAGCAAAAACTTCCAGCACCCCTTAGCCTCCACGGCCAACCTCATGGGTCCCGGACACAGTTTCTACGGCAAGTTCAGCAGCATCCGGATGGAAGGGGAGGAGGCCCTCCCCGCGGCCGCCGCCGCTGCTGCCGCCGCCGCCGCCGGCCCCGAGCAGCCCCCCGCCGGCATCCTGACCCCCAGCACCCTCCTGAACCTGGGCGGGCTCACCAGCTCGGTCCTGAAGACCCCCATTACCTCAGTCCCCCTGGGGCCGCTGGCCTCCAGTCCTACCAAATCCCCGGAGGGCGAGGACCCCGGGGCAGCAGAAGGAGAGAAGCAGGAAGGCGGAGGCGGCGGAGACCCGGACTGCTTCTCCTCCGAGAAGGCAGGGCCCGCCGAGGAGGAGGTGGAGGAGGAAGAGGAGGAGGAGGAGGAGGCGGAGGAGGAGGAGGAGGACGAGGAAGAGGAGGAGGAGGAGGAGGAGGAGGTGGAGGAGGTGGAGGAGGAGGAGGACGACGAGGGTTGCAAAGGACTCTTTCCCAGCGAGCTGGACGAGGAACTGGAGGACAGGCCCCACGGCGAGTCCGGGGCCGCGGCAGGCAGCGGCCAAAAGGACCTGGCTCTCTCAAACCAAAGCATTTCTAACTCCCCGCTAATGCCTAACGCGCTCCAGACCCTGTCGAGGGGCGCGGCTTCTACTAGCTCTAACCCCGCTTCTTCCTTCGTGGTCTTCGATGGTGCGAACAGGAGGAACCGTTTAAGCTTTAACAGTGAGGGCGCCAGGGCCAACGTGGCAGAGGGCGGCGGCGGCGGCGGCGGCGGCAGCGGCGGCAGCCGGAGGCTGGACTTCGCCGACGAAAGTGCCAATAAAGACAGTGCCACAGCACCGGAACCAAATGAGAGCCCCGAGGGGGACGACGGGGGCTTCGCCCCCCACCACCACCACCACCACCAGCACGCCGGCTCCCTCTGCGAGCTCGGGGCGGGCGGGGAGTGCCCCTCGGGGAGCGGCGTGGAGTGCCCCAAGTGCGACACGGTCCTGGGCTCGTCCCGCTCGCTGGGCGGCCACATGACCATGATGCACTCGCGCAACTCCTGCAAGACCCTCAAGTGCCCCAAGTGCAACTGGCACTACAAGTACCAGCAGACGCTGGAGGCGCACATGAAGGAGAAGCACCCGGAGCCGGGGGGCTCGTGCGCGTACTGCAAGACGGGCCAGCCGCACCCCCGGCTGGCGCGCGGCGAGAGCTACACGTGCGGCTACAAGCCCTTCCGCTGCGAGGTGTGCAACTACTCCACCACCACCAAAGGCAACCTCAGCATCCACATGCAGAGCGACAAGCACCTCAACAACATGCAGAACCTGCAGAACGGCGGCGGCACGGGCGAGCAGGTCTTCAGCCACTCGGCCGGGGCGGCGGCCGCGGCGGCGGCGGCGGCGGCGGCGGCGGCGGCCGCGGCGGCGGCCAACATGGGCAGCTCCTGCGGGGCCCCCTCGCCCACCAAGCCCAAAACCAAGCCCACCTGGCGGTGCGAGGTGTGCGACTACGAGACCAACGTGGCCCGCAACCTGCGCATCCACATGACCAGCGAGAAGCACATGCACAACATGATGCTGCTGCAGCAGAACATGACGCAGGCGCAGCACGGCCGCCACCTGGGCCTGGGCAGCCTGCCCTCGCCCGCCGAGGCCGAGCTCTACCAGTACTACCTGGCGCAGAACATGAGCCTGCCCGGCCTGAAGGTGGACAGCGCGGCCGCCGCCGCCGCCGCCGCCGCCTCGGACGCGCCCCCGTTCATGATGAGCGGCTTCCCGCTGGACCCCTCCGCCGCGCCCATGGCCGCCGTGACGCCCGCTCTAGGTGAGGCTGCCGCCCCCGCGACTGTCTGTCTGTCTGTCTGTCTGTCCGTCCTCCTGCTGTGGCCGGATCGGGGGAGACAACGGCGGACGAGTCCGGGTCCCGTGGATTCGGTTGAATTTTTTTTTTTTTTTTTTTTTTTTTTTTTGTCTTTTTGTCTTTTGTATCAGCTTGAGAGTCTGAGAGTCAATAGTTTTTTTTTTTCCTCCCCCCACTCAAGAATCCCCGGAGCTCTGTGTGCCTAGGGTTAGTCGTGCGCACCGAAAGGATGACCCCACCCCAGTTCCGCAGGCCAGGATTGAAACGGAAGCATTCCCTCCCTCCCTCCCTCCCTCCCTCCCTCCCGTGTCTTTGGCTTCTGGTCAGCCTTCCTTCCCGTTCCCGTTCTCTGTTTCCTCTGTCTCTGTCTCAGTTTGAAAAAAAAAAAAAAAAAAAATCACCACAATTATCCAAAACTTTTGGATCCCATTAAATATTTATGGAAACTTACAGGAAACCGTAGCCGGGGTTTTTAAATAGGAACGGCCATCTCCGACAGAGAGAAGAGGGACGGGGGTGGGGGCGGGGGCGTTGCTTGACTCAGATAACCAAAGGCTGGACCTGTGCCACGCAGAGAGGGTTCTACAAATCCCCACCCCACCCCACCCGACTCCCCAGCCCCGTGTGTTCCCGTGGGCCTCAGAGAAGGAGGCGTGCTCCTTTCCTTCCTTATTCTGCATGTGTTTTTGGTGATCAGTGTCCTTAGACATTAAATGGCCCCGGGACTCCCTAAGGACTGGCGTGATAGATGACAATGAATCAATCCTAAAACTGTCCACCAGAGAAAGCTGAGTTTTAGCATCGGTGAGAGATCCTGGCTGGTGGGAGCCTTTGTCTCCGGGAAGAACAGCCCAGGTCTCACTGGCCTCACGGATCGAGCGTGGGACCCGGGCGGGGCTACAAAGAATCACGACCACTTTCGGGGAGAGCTTCTTACAGCAAGAAAACGTAGGAATCCGTTTCCCGAGGAGTGGTTGGGCCACTCCCGCCCCTGCACCTGTGGCCCGGGCCGGCGGGGCCTGATCTCCATCCCCTGACCTGCTCATCGCTCGGGACCAGCGGCGATGGCCCGCATGCGGCCGCATCCCCTTCCCGGCACTGGGATACGTTGTTCTTGGCAACAGAACGTCAGCCAGTACCTTTATCCTGGCACGGTTTAGGTCAGCGCCAGGGGCCGAGCCTCACCAGTAGGAAGGTCTTTATTTGCTTGGTGTTTTAGTGCTAATCGCTGCTGATGAGTTACATTTCATAACGGTTCATTTGTCTTAACCCGCTACGCATTCAAATTGGAGACCTTGCCGGTTTGATCTCGCTTTTCTGTTCTGGAACATTGACCTGTTGGTCCTTTATTACCAAGTGGTTTGAAGAAGTCTCCCTGGCTGGCTAATCATGGATGCGGAGGGAGAAGCTGTCTTATTCGTCCCCGGAGTAAACCTTCGGAGCACACATCAAGGGACGGCATCGGTGCTCTGAGGCTTTTATTTTATTATTTTTATTTTATTTATTTTTTTAAGCCCGTGGGAATTGGGGTTTTCTAGTCTGGAGATTTAAAATCTTGAGGAGGCAGATCTTGGAGTAAATCAAATATAACGTAGGTAGAATGAAGACACAGAAAATGGATGGGTTCATACTGAGCCGAATTGAGATCTTTTTAATTACCTTGAAAACCAGTAATTCTGACCTAGGCTTACATGGAGAGGCAGAGAAATAGTTTGCTTTTACACCAAGCGTCCGAGTCCCTGGGGGCATTCTTATATTGTGGGCATATGGCAGATGCCAAAGGAATAGAAGAACAAATCTCTGTGCTCTGGACATACATTGATGATCTGTATTTTATTTATTTATTAAATATATTTTTTATTGATGTCAGAGAGGAAGGAAGAGGGAGGTAGAAGCATCGACGATGAGGGAGAATCATTGATCGGCCGCCTCTTGCAGGCCCCGCCCCCCCACTGGGGACCAAGCCTGCAATCCAGGCGTGTGCCCTTGACCGGAATCGAATCCAGGGCCCTTCAGTCCGCAGGCCGATGCTCTATCCACTGAGCCAAACCCACTAGGGCTGTATTTTATTTCTTAAAGAGAATAGAACTCGTCTTTTAAGGACCTAAGCCAGGGCAGCCAAGAAGGGCCCCTGGATTCCCAGAGGCTCCGATGGTCAGCTAAGGTGCGTCTGCCTTCGGGCCACAGCGGCTGTCAAGATCGACAAGAGCCACAGATGCTTTGTGCTGACACCTGAGTGGGTGCAGGTACCACAGGACATGCCTAGAGGACCTATAATTTAAGTTCTGGGACCTCAGTAGACGCGGACGTAATATAGGCAAACGAGAAGAGCCGTGCCTTTTGATTCTCTCTGTAGCTCTGCTGACGTTTCCGCAGGCCATTTGAGGGATGGCCGTCGGTTATTGGACATTCCTGGGCTCGGCAGGGGGTGGAATTGTGTTTGGCGAACCCCGCTCCTGCTTGCAAAGTTATTCTCACACTTCCTTTGCCAGGACCTTCTCTTTGGTGACTCCAAACGTGCTGACCTGGGATGTTGGCTCTCTCGGGGCACTGTGGGTCTGGGCTGGCTGGATGTGCCACCGTTTGTGGATCAGATGTAGAACTGAGGCCATCTCGGTGTCCTTCCAAACACCCCCTCCCACTCTGACGTCGAGCCACAGCCCGGGGAAGCCGGGAGCTCATGGCGGGGTCCCCCGTGCTTCCCAGGTAGCCAGCCAGCCGGTGTCCTGCATGGGAATGTGATGTTAGAGCTCCGTCACACTCAGCCTGGGGTTCTCTGCTGCTGCCTGGAGTCGAGACGGCACCTTTTCCCACCGTGTGTGCCTCCGACGACGTGCCACTGGCCAGGCTCTGGGCCCGGATGTCAATCTCCCTGTTGAAGTCAGGTGCATGCGGGCAGAGGGTGCCATTCCTTTCCAAGACCATCTATCTGTCCGGCGTGGCTCAGAAGTCAGCGCTGCCGAGTCCTCACTTCCTGTGGCTCCCCTAATCCCCGTGAGTTAGGGCAGCTTATACTTTCCGGGGCCTGACTTGGTTCCGGCCAGCGCCGCGGAGCGTCGGATTGTAAGCCCTGGGCTTGTTTCTCCAGGGTTCGGTGCTCCCGTCCCCCTCCTCTCATGGCTTCTCTGCTTCTTTTTCCGTCTTGGATTTGCAAGAACCGGGAGTGGGAATAGGGACCTACTCCCTTCTGTGTTCAAGGACTTCTCATTTCCACGCAAGCATCCAACACGCGGCCGTCGACTTTCTCTTTAGAGCGATGATGATGATGAGCGGGGGGGTTACGTTTCAGAAGGGGACGAGGTTTGCTGCCTCAGGCGGTTGGCATCAGAAACGAACGTGTGCTTGCTGCTCGCCTCCGGCCCCGGGCGATGGCCGGAGAGGAGACCAGCAGAAAGCTCCCGGGCAGGCTTCTGTGGCTGCTAGACCGTCCCCAGCTTCAGACGCAGCCGGCTGCTCCGCGGAGCCCGCCCTGATCTTCTCGCCGCAGGTGCCCCGCGTAGCGTAAACCCAAAAAGCCATTTAAGAGTATATGGAACGTCTTTTCCCTGAGGAACCGCTAACGTGGATTCTAATCCATCCTTAAAAGAAAAATAACCTCGGCCCAGCCCCATGTTAAAGGTCAGGTTTAAATATCAGTTGCGAGGAGGCAGGGGCAGACCCAGCTCAAGTGTGCACGTGTGCAGGGCAGAGGCGGAAAGCGGGAGCCCGGGCTGCAGGCTTCTGAGGAGCGGAGGGAAGGCTGCCTGCCGTGTGCATGCGCGGCCGGTGCGTGAGAGCCGGTCGCTGGGCTGTGCAGGGCAGCGATGCACCAGAAAAGCACAGGGGAGGGGAGAGCAGAGCTTTCTCAGGCCCTTCATTAAGGAGGCGGAGCGGAGGGAGACTGTGAGCTGACGTTGGCATTTCAGGGCTGATCCCACATCCACCTTCCGGTTCACTTTCCCAGACCTCCTCACCCTTGCCTGGCACAGAGGACGTGTGGGCATCTGTGGAGGGACTTTCTGGAGGCTCGGCGAGGAGGAGATTGGCCCTGGTGCGGACACAGCTCAGCCTGTGGGTCTGTCCGAGGCTGACTTACGGCAGAGGAGAATGTGATGTTAGAGCTCCGTCACAGGCAGCCTGGGGCTCAGAAAGGAAAAGATGGCCCTTCTGGGGCATGAGGGAGGAGCTGGCACCATGGATTGGCAGGTCGGATATTGATCAGTGGGCTGTGATAAGGAGATCTTCCCGAAATCTCAGATTTAGACCTGCACTGTCCAATACCAGCCACGCGTGGCCATCTAAATGTAAATGTGTTAAACGTAAGTAAAATCTCAGTTTCCGCGTTGCACCTGAGCCACGTTTCAAGTGTTCCGTGGCTACGTGTGGGAAGTGATGGCCACACTGGACAGTGCGGATACAAATGCTTCCATCTTCGCCCCCGAAAGCTCTCCTGGATGGCGCTGCTTTCGATGAGGTCTGATTCGCCACCAGGGCGTGGCGTTGTCGATTACAGCTGTAGCTCACTTCCAACTTGGCAGGTTCTGAAGTTTCAGATTCTATTATGTCCAGTGAACGATGCTTATATCTGTCTTTTCCCGGATCTAAGTGAGGGGCTAAGTTGAAATATTCAAAAGTTTATGGTTCCTGCCTCTTTCTTTCTTTCTTTTTTTTTTTTTAAAAAAATATATTTTATTGATTTTTCACAGAGAGGAAGAGAGGACAGACAGTTAGAAACATCGATGAGAGAGAATCATCGATCAGCTGTCTCTTGCACACCCCCCACTGGGGATGTGCCCACAACCAAGGTATATGCCCTTGACCAGAATCGAACCCGGGACCTTTCAGCCCCCAGGCCGACGCTCTATCCACTGAGCCAAACCGGTCCCGGCTCCTGCCTCTTTCTAGGTGTTCTTCTCCAAAGGAACACACACACACACACACACACACACACACACACACCACACACACACAAACATCAAGCTTTTCACAAATTTTGGAAAGGTCTGAATGCATGAAGGTGATGTGTGTGTGTGTGTGTGTGTGTGTGTGTGTGTGTGTGTGGTTTCCCCGTTGTAGCACCTTGCAACACTTGAAATGTGACCGTGTCTCTCCTCGGGCCCGGGTGGAGGGGAGCGGAGGGCGGGGAGGTGCCCGGGTTCGGCTGCAGCTGGGAGCCCGGCCGCTGACTGTCCTCTCCTCTCCTTCCCAGCAGTGGGCGGTGAGATCCCCCTGGACATGCGGCTCGGGGGCGGGCAGCTGGTGTCGGAGGAGCTGATGAACCTGGGCGAGAGCTTCATCCAGACCAACGACCCGTCGCTGAAGCTCTTCCAGTGCGCCGTGTGCAACAAGTTCACCACGGACAACCTGGACCTGCTGGGGCTGCACATGAACGTGGAGCGCAGCCTCCCCGAGGAGGAGTGGAAGGCCGTGCTGGGGGACTCGTACCAGTGCAAGCTCTGCCGCTACAACACGCAGCTCAAGGCCAACTTCCAGCTGCACTGCAAGACCGACAAGCACGTGCAGAAGTACCAGCTGGTGGCCCACATCAAGGAGGGCGGCAAGGCCAACGAGTGGCGGCTCAAGTGTGTGGCCATCGGCAACCCCGTCCACCTCAAGTGCAACGCCTGCGACTACTACACCAACAGCCCGGAGAAGCTGCGCCTGCACACGGTCAACTCCAGGCACGAGGCCAGCCTGAAGCTGTACAAGGTAAGGCCCGGGCAGAGCCTCGGGGAGCCGCCGGTCTGCTCCCCCCAGGGGGGACGGCGAGGGTCGGTGGCCCGGTGTGGGGAGGGGGCGCCGGCATCCGCTCCCTCGCGCAGCTGCAGTGGGGTTCTCTCCGCGGGGGTGCCCCGTTTTAGAGGGGCACTTCTGTTTGTGAGGGGAGGGTGTGGACACCAGCACTGTCACATTGTTCCCCTTGCCCTTCGACTGTCTCTAGGGTTCCCTCCTTCCTGGCAGTTACCTGTGCACCTGTGTTCCCCTCTCCCCCTGCGAGCTCTCGCTCCCCTTGTCCATCCCATCTCATCGCCCCCCCCCCCCCCCCCCCCGAAGGACAAGTCTCTCCTGGGCGTCCTCTCGGGGTGCTTGGTGCATGCGTTCATTCATTTGCTCACTCAACAGATACACGCCTACTGTACACCAGGCACTGCTCTGGGTACATGCCCGCATCCACGCACAAAAGAGACAGAAACCCCCTCCCTCCTCCAGGAAACGGGTGCTGCACACAGTGAGGAAGTTAAGACAGTCAGTAGGCTAGACAGCTACCTGGGAAGCAGGGGTCAGGCAGTGGGGGGGGCTCCCTGTTCCTTCCCTCAGTCTTCCCGATCCTCTGCCCCTTTTCTTTCTCTTCGTGTATTTTTATTCTCTTTTCCGGGCTTCTCCTATCTTCCTCCTCTTGTTCTGTCTGTCCTCTCTTCCCTTCCTTCCTCCTCCCTCTCTCCCTCCCTCCCTCTCTCCCTCCCTCCCTCCTTCCCTCCCTCCCTCCCTCCCTCCCTCCCTCCCTCCCTCCCTCCCTCTCTCCCTCCCTCCCTCCCTCCCTTCCTTCCTTCCTTCCTCCTTCTCCTTCAACCCCCCTCCCCGACCCCTCCCAGCTATCTCTCCGGCTGTAAGGAGGGGCTGGCGCTCAGATACTGTAAATAGTCCTCTCACTCGCACGGGCAAAATTGCTCCAGACGCTTCTATTGATTTTCACTGGACTTAAAGCCTCACCTTTTTCTCTAATCATCCCGTAATGGCTTTAGTATGAACAGTCAGGTACAAATCGCCATAAATCTGCCCAGCCTCCCTCCCTCCACACGCCACCCACGCCCTCACCCCCTCTTCCCCTCTCCTCCCCGTGCTGTCGGTCTCTCCTCTTCCCTCTCACGCGGGCCCTCAGTCTCTTTGGGCCGAGGAGGGTTGACCTTCTGCTGACCCTGAGCCGCCGCCATCATCCCCTGGCTACCCAGGGCGGTTTTCAGTAGAGACTCCGATGGGGAAGCCCCCCCCCCCCCCCGACCCTCCCCGCCACGGTCTCCGCGCCATTGATGACTGGGGCGCGTTTTACAATTCATTGCTGGTTCGGAGGCGGGCGGGAGGCATGCGTAGCATTGGATGAGAATCCCTTTCAGAGAAAGGAGGAGGAAGCAGGAATGAGGCAGTGGGAATAGAATGTTCTGGAAGTGACGGCTGACTCCAGCACGCAGGGGCTCTCAGCTGGTGCCGCGGGGAAGGCCTGGCCACCACGGAGCCAGCCCCCCTCCCTGGTCCTCCGTGACCAGGAACCTCCCTGGGTGGCTCAGTGCGGTGCCACCTTGGAAATCAAAGGCTCTTTGTGGCGAGCTGAGATTGGAGGGCTCGCTGGCCACAGGGTGGTGCCGATGCGGTCAAGAGAGCTGATGGAAAAACCAGTGGAAAAAAAGTTTCCGAAGGACACCCCGCCGAGCAGAATTAGTCCCCAGGACCCGGGGTGGCGTGGAAGGCTGCGGGGGCCGCTTTGACGGAGGCCATTTAGAGGTGGCAGGAAGCCAGCCTCCTCCATCCGAGGGAAAAACTGCTCTTCAAATCACACAACGTGCACAGCGGTGGCCGACGCCGCGCCGCGCCCTCCAGGAAGAGCGGGCCAGGCCCCGGCTCTGCTTCCAGGGGGCCGGGACCGGGAGGATGTGCTGACATCTCCCCTCTCGGTACCCAGACCACGTCCAGGAGTCGTACCGACGCTCGGGTTTGAGGCGGTTTGTCAGATGGATGTGAGGGAGGCAGTGTGTGTGGCTCCATCCTCCTCCCTGGCCTTTTTTTTTATTTTTTCATTAAAAAAATTATTTATTTTTAAAAATATATTTTTATTGATTCCAGAGAGGAAGGGAGAGGGAAAGAGAGAGAGATAGAAACATCAGTGATGAGCCCTAGCCGGTTTGGCTCAGTGGATAGAGCGTCGGTCTGCAGACTGAAAGGTCCCAGGTTCGATTCCGGTCAAGGGCATGTACGTTGGTTGCGGGTACATCCCCAGTGGGGGTTGTGCAGGAGGCAGCTGGTCGATGTTTCTCTCTCATCGATGTTTCTAACTCTCTATCCCTCTCTCTTCCTGTCTGTAAAAAATAAATAAAATAGATTAAAAAAAAAAAAAAAAGAAAGAAAGAAACATTAGTGATGAGAGAGAATCATCCATCAGCTGCCTCCTGCACACCTTAAACTGGGAATCAAGCCTGCAGCCTGGGCATGAGCCCTGACTGGGAATCAGACTGTGACCTCCTGGTTCATAGGTTGGTGGCTCAACCACTGAGCAACACCAGCTGGGTCATCATTTTTTTTTTTTTTTTTAAGGGCGCTCGAAAAGGGCGGTGCAGGTGGAAGGGGCCATAGGTTTTGGGGTCCAGGATGGCACATGGGGACCAGCCCCTCAAGGAGAGGTACATAAACCGTGCATTTGGCTGGCCCTCCCTGGGCGTGACCAGCCCCCCACACTCAGGGCAGCATTCCCCATGTCATCAGCCCGGTGCCCTTCGTCCTTGGGCACCACGTGTCCCTCGCTTGCAGGGCTCTGCGGCGGGGACTGGAGGTGGTTTGAGAGCGAGTTTTTCTCTCGGCCCTGGTGTGGCCTGTAGTAAATGGAGATTGATTGCATGTTATTTTTCCTCTTGCTAATGTAATCCATTAGCCCAGCACATGCATAATCAGTTTAGTGCACAGTTAACTGGATGTAATCGAGTTCTTTACTGTCTGCTAGAGAAACAGCTCCAGATGCTCCTGACCTGGGGGAGGGCACCCCGCTTCTCGCACGGCCCCTCCTGGCTCACCCCTTCCCGGTCCCCACCCCGCCCCACCCCACCCCGCCCCGCTTGCCTGGCAAATTATTCATTGTCGGTCAGGGAGACTCCCTGGCTTGCTTTTTGCTGCACCTACTCAAGTGGCCCTGATGGATGGGACTTCCGGACAGGCCCGCCCCCCCCACCCTCTCTCTCAGCTGAGGCTTTTATTCCCTCCTCTTCCCTTTTCATGTCAGAGGAGAGAGAGTGAGCGAGCCACGGTCTCAGGGGATGCCAGCGGAGGCGTGGCGCTCCCGTGTGCCATTTGACCTCACTCCGGCCCAGAGTCGCTCCTCCCCGTGTCAGAACCGCTCGCTGGCGCACAGGTTGCCTGGGACGCGTGCGAGAGTTTCTAATCCGGACACGAGAGAGGGACGGACTGGTCTGCAAAAACACCGCCACACAAAACAGAAACCCCACAACCCAGTGATATTGTCTCTGGTGCCTGCCATTGTCCAGTTTTTGATGACTGTGTGAGAGTTTTTAAGTGGAGGTTAACCTTCAAAAGCGTCCTCCCTCCCTTGCCTCCTGGGAGTGGAAGGGCGTGGGGCTGGGAGTGTAGGGGCCCAGACATCGGACAGACTATGTTTTCTCTGAACTGTGAGGTTGCTTTCGTGGAGAGCTCGAGGTTGGCCGCCTGGCATGACAGCCCAGCCCTGGGTGGTCACCTGCCTGGATCCTCACACCTGCCATCACGGGGCATCGCGATGGATCAAAACAGCAGGCCGGCCGGCAGCCCCCGGCCAGCTCTCGGTTGGTTTCTCTCCACAGGACTCCGCTGAGCCCGCAGGGAAGGGTGCTCTGGAAGAGGGGCCGGTCTCTCAGTGGGGCTGCAGGTCCAGAGCACGAAGCATGCACCTTTCTGCTGCTTCGCCGTGTGCCTGTGGGGACCTCACCCTCCCGGCCAGGGAGATGCGGGTGCCCTCCCTTTTCTGAAACAGGGGAGCAGAGCAGATACAGCAGCCCCTCCACCCTCGTGTTCACTGGCGACACTCCTCCCAAGACCCCCAGTGGTTGCCTGAATACACGACGTGCTTTCCTTATACATACATACCTAGAATGCAGTTTAAGTTATAAATTAGGCGGAGCAAGAGAGAAACAGCTAATAATGAAGGAGAACGATTAAAACGATATGCTGTAATAGGAGATGGACACGGCGCTAGGTAAAGTAAGGGTTACTGGAACACGGGCACTCTGATGCCAAAAGGGCCGATCAGATGGCCAAGCCCAAGTGCCTAACGGGTGGGGAGCATATACAGCAAGGATATGCAGGACAGAGGGGCGATTCCCACCCCGGACGGGCTGGAGGAGACGATGTGGGATTTCATCACCCGACTCAGTGCTGCGTGCAATGCGGAACTTACGGATTGCTTCTGGAATTGTTCATTTCATAATTTCGGACTGCGGCGGGCTCTAGGAAACTGATACGTAGATAAGTGGGGGGGTGGGGGGGCGCCGTGCGGATAGACATCTGCCCTTTGCTCAATGCCAACCGAGATCCCGAGTCCAGTGTGCGGCTCTGGGGCCGGCGTGAGCTCTCCGGGCTCATCTGGACGTGGCCGCTGCGCGGCGTCCCCGGCGAGCCGTCTGAAACCGGCCGTGCCCCCCGCGGGGGAGGAGGGTGCAGAAAGTCAGGTGGCGATCGGCGCACACCTGCCAACCATTAGAATCTGGTTTCCACTTTGATGTTTTTCTTCACCTGAGAGTCATTGGAATGGAAATCCATCAACTCGAGCAGATAGATTAAGACCCCCACCAGAATCTATTACTCAAACAGTTCCCAGCTGAGGTTCCTTTGATTGGGCCAAGCCCGAAGGTTTCATATTAATCTTAAATTAGACACAAAGACGGTTGTCTACCACGGAGCTGCTGGGTCTGGGCCCCATGTGGGCTGCCTTGGGGCCAGCGAGGCACACAGACGGT